CTTGAAATAAGAAAATATGTAAAATTCCCTCTTATACTTATAGGAGAGGATCAGAAAGAATATACTAAAGAAATAATTCAATATAAAGATGAATTATATGGAGTTGATCGTTCACCTATACTACTAGGAATGAACTTTCTTGAAAAATATAGTCCTTATAAAATTTGTCAAGGATATTTAAAAATAACAGTTGATGATAATCCAATCATCATATCAAAAATAGATGAAAATATGAAATCATTGTTATCATGGAAAGAGTAATTAGTACTAATCACATGAATCCATATATTGAAATTATACTTAATATAAAGAGTTAATGTAGAATTAAGTTTCATGCTTACTTAGATACATGAAATACAATAAGCTTATGCTTACCAAATACACTAGCATCTGAATATTGGAAATATAATTCAAAAAAGATAGTCACTGCTACAACAGCAGGTGGAAATAAGGTAATATACAGCAAATATATTAAGCAAGTACCTTTTCTAATTTCCTTTAGAGAAGTATTTGTTGATACAATATATATATCAAATACAATTGGATGTGATATTTTATTAGAACAAAATTTCCTATTAAAGTATGCACCATTTACACAATATATTGATTAATATATGTTCACCACTCCTTGTGCACACAAAATATTTACACCAAAAATAGACAAGGCTGTTACAATTGCATATAAAGACATAAACCATCAAAGTTCCTCAACCCAGCGTGGTGAATGTTGGAGTACAGAAAAATTTAAATCAATTACAGTCTTAAAAATGACAACAGAAAATAGGTTAGACCAATTGAAAAAAGAAATTTCTAAAACATATTCTAAAAATCCCTTAGAAAAATGGAAACAAATAAAGTAAATGCAAAAATAAAATTAACTAATCCAGACACTATTGTTAGAGTCAAACCCATGAAATATAATGTAGATGATCAAAAGGAATTTAAAGTCCAGATAAAAGAATTGCTAGAAGCCAAATTAATTAGGCCTAGTAAAAGTTCACATAGCAGCCCAGCCTTTATGGTTAGAAAACATAGTGAGATAAAAAGAGGAAAAGTCAGAATGGTGATAAATTACAAAAAATTAAATGAAATTACCAAATTTGATGGATACTACTTGCCAAATAAGGACACCCTTATTAAACAAGTACAGAATAAAAAGATATTTTCAAAATTTGATTGTAAGTCAGGGTTTTGGCAAATCATGCTTACAGAAGAAAGTAAACTATTAACTGCATTTAGTACCCCCCAATCTTTTAGGACAATACGAATGGAATGTAATGCCATTTGGGTTGAAAAATGCACCACATATATTCCAAAGAAGAATGGATGAGGTAATCAAACCAATTACTCATTTTTGTATTGTATATGTAGATGATTTACTTATTCATTCAAATAACATTGATGAACATATTGAATATCTTGAGAAATTTTGTTATATTATGAAGAAACATGGTATTACACTTTCTCAAAAGAAAGCTGAGATAGCTAGGACATAAATAGAATTTTTAGGATTATTTATAAAAGAAGGAGAATTGCAATTACAATCTCATATTGGAGAAAAACTTCAAGAATTTCCTGAAGAAATCAAAAATAAAAAATAATTACAAAACTTCCTTGGTATATTAAATTATGTTGAAGAATTCATTGAAAATTGTGCCAAATTAAAAAATTATTTTCTTCCAAAGTTAAGAAAAAAATATAATGTGGTCTTGTGAAGAACAAGATTGTGAAAATATAAAGAAAGTAAAAAAAAAAATTAAAGGTATTGCCCAAACTTGTAATACCACAAGAAGAATATTTCTTTATCCTTGAAACTGATGCATCAAATAATTATTGGGGAGTAGTATTACAGGTTAAAAAGAATCATAAAGAATATAAATGTGAAGAGAATTGTTCTTGTCCTGAAATACTTGCAGGTTATACATCAGGAACGTTCAAAGAAGTTGAAACAAGATATGAAACGAACAGGAAAGAACTCATTGCTGTAAAAATGGGAGTTCAAAAATATGAAGATTATTTATTACCAAAGAAGTTTTTTATTAGAACTGATAATACTCAAGTTAAAGCCTTTTTAAAAAATAATGTTATCCATCAATTACCAATAGATATATTATTAGAATACAAATTTGGTTTTTATATTTCAAATTTGATATTGAATACATAAAAGGTAAAACTAACTTTCTTCCTGATTATCTTAGCAGGGATGGAGCTAGAACAACTAAGGACGAAGGTCCAAATACTTTAGATAAAAGTTTCCTATTTGGAAACACAAATTCAAATATCCAAGATAGCCTTTGAGGCAAAAATATAGCCCTTGAGGCAGAAGTAACTTGTACCAAATCTAGTATTCCTTCGCAGCGACTTGTGAATACTATCGCTCTTCCCGAGAATAAAGGGAAAGAGAAGAAGGTAATAGGAACCCCTTCACAGGGAATACTTAAACTTATTACTAGTAATGAAGATACAAAAATTCCCATTATGGAAGATATTCAAGATATCAAAAGAGAAGGTAGTTTTTTCACAGAGCCAAACTCAATCTAAACTTTATATTGAAAGGATAGATCTAAAAGATATTGTCAAGATATGTCATGAAGTAAAAATTCCAAGAAAAGATAACCATGAAGAAGTAATGTTCTTTATTGTTATTTTTAATGTTCTATCAGATTGGTATTTGGAGATAAGAAAGTGGATGAAAACTCTCCACTATACAAAATACAACAAGGTAAACTTCTATCCAAGAGCACCAGCCAACTAGGTACGAAACTACTTTGAGATAGGAAATATACTCTGTATATATCCTAGCAAAGATCTCAAAGAAATAGTCCAACTTCCAGTTAACATCAGGAAAGCTGTCAAAAGATATACTGAAGTCGTCAAGACAACAAATATATACATCAGATTCCATTCAACAACTATGGAATGGGATCTCGTTCTTGAATATATGCATCCATCGTTCCATATTATCAAAATGAGACTTACAAACCAGCATTTTTTACCAACCAGTCAAAAGGTTGTTAAAAATGGATATCAAGATATTTTAAATATGATGCCCTATAGAAGAGCAAAAAGGTACAAAGAAATATTTGAACATGTAACTGAGATAATTACTGAAAAAGAAAAAATATGGGTTTATCCGTCTGAAGACCATATTATCTACTCCAATGGAAGAATTGCTACAAAGGAAGAAGATATTTGTTATCTCGACCATTTATTATCTACAATTATCTCTGACCAAGTACATGGATCCAAATATATGGCTAAAGAACTGTGTAAATTACTCTGAAACTACAGTGATCACTATTGTGAATACTGCGTAGTTGAAAATATGAGTCAAGCATCTCTCAACAGTGAAGAATTTCCTGCAAAATTCTTTGATTCCAAAATGAAAAAGTGACGGTGACAAAATTGGCCCCTTATCATTACTTTAATAAAGAAATTTATTAAAGAAAACTGTGGCTACTAAAAGACAGAAGATAGTGCAAAAGTCTCCATAATTGTGACTACTCACCCACCAGTTGTCATAAGTGGAAGACAAATTCAAAGATAAGGCATAAAATTTCAAAAGGAGAGGTCCACCTAATAAGAAGATGATAGAAAAATCGGTGAAGATAACATTATTGAGCTACCCAACAAAAGGAAGTGAAAAACATCTGTTAAGATAAGATTCTCAAATGCTCCTATAAAAGGAGGCAAGGAGGAAGAAGGAAGATATCTCCAAACAACTTATCTCTTAAACACTCTAAAGAAACACATCTTAGAGATATATCTTTTGTAATCTGTATACACCACTTGTATTCAGAAAAATATTAGATATCTTGTAGTAAGGTAATCACTTATGGAGTTTTAAACTTCATAAGGTGATTACTAAAGGTATGTAAATATAGACTGTAAGCATGTACTATTTCAATTTATGAATATTAAAGTAAAGTTTGTTATGTTCAACAAAGCTTTCATAAAAAAATTTTGTTAAGTTTCTCATGATTCCTCGACAGTACAGATAGAGATTTTAAAAGATTTTCAAAACATTTGATTTTGAATGGATGTTAGCCATGCCAAAGTACCCGTTTTTGAGGAATGGTTTAGGGGGAAAAAGCAGTTTCTAACAAAATTGTAGCACCTTGTGTGTGAGTTATCTTTTAAAATTTCATTCTAAGTAAGAATTTGATTTTGAAAAGAGTTTGGATAGAGGTGAAAACAGAGACTCTGGATACTGTGAGATAGCGTCTGTGGTAACAAGGCTAGTTCTATGGAATGAGAAATGCAATCTTAATTGAAAAGCCTTTTGCGGAAGCAGTTGTGGACCCAAATGATTTTTAAAAATATTTTAAATTTTTACTTGATTCAGAAGATTGATTAAGTACATGCAAAGCATCTATAAGAGTATAATGGAGGGAAAGCCTATTTACTTCTATTTGATTACTTTAAGTTTTTTTTACTCGCTTTTATATACTTATGCTTTGATAATTTTGATGAACAATTCACAAGTATTCACATCCACTTCTAATGATCTTAGATTATATTTAGATGAGAAAAATATTTCGTTTTTATTTAAATTAGTTGAAAAGTCTGAAGATATATTTCCTGTTGGCAAAGAGAAAATTGAAGAAATATACCAAGATATAGATTATTTTTGTAAGCACAATATAAGATTTGATTATGTAAAAACTAGCAGAGAAATAAGAAAAGTAGAAGATATTATAACCAAACATAGAGATATACAAGAAGAAGTTTCAGAAGAATTAGTTCGAGGATACATAACTAAGGAAGATCAGCCTAAGATCTTTGAATAATTATCAAAATACAAAGAATATTTAAAGGTATTTGAAAGATTAAAAAATATAGATATAGATCTTGATTAATAAATTTCGAAAGATACAGGATACAACTTACAAATAATAAAAGTAAGGGTAAAATAATATTTCTAATAGAAAAGACCATTGTGAAAAATATGATCAATAACCTGGTCATTTAGAAAATTGCCCCATCTCGAAATCCCTAAACCAAACCCGCAAAATGCATCTGGACCCGTCAAGTGACCCGTTGTTAAATCCTTCTTGTACCCTTTCATTTTGTTCACTTTTACACTCTATGTGATGCTTTTCTCTGTAAAAAAAAGCCAATGAATTCACTCGCTCCTAAATTCCTCAAGCTCCTCAGAATCTCTCCTTCCATCAGACCCTCTTCACTCGGTAACAACTTGACACCTTTTATACATATACTTGCAAGCTTCGTGCTAATAGAGTAGATGCATATTAGTTTCTTTTAGGATTTTCATCGAACAGTTGAGGGGAAATGTTGAGCATTACTATATATATATATATATATATTGATTGGTGTTGTGTTCTATTCTGTACATTCTGAAGTGGGTTTTATTTGTTTTCTTATTCTTGCCTTTGTGATGAAATTTTGTAGTGATGGGCGTGGAAAGGAGCTCAAAGTTGCTTTTCTCAGCCGAGACTGACAATGACAGCGACAAGGATGTGAGCCCTAATGGTGAGGTGGAGGTCGATGATGATTTTCCTCCTGAGAGGCCCGAGTTGCAACTGCAGAGTGTTGATCCCATAAAGGGCTGGAATTTTCGCGGTGTCCACAGGGTATTGGAGCTTTATAGGAAATACAATAGTGGATTTTTTGCAGGATTAAATGCCATTTTTAGTAATGACAGGAATGAGATAATTGGTTTGATAATGGCAGGAGCGTGTTTTTGTCATTTTTGTTTTAAAATAATACGTCTTGTTCTGACCGTTTACACTAGTTGGTATCATGCGGCACATTTTACTAATCCTTTTCTTGATGGTGAATTTTGGGGAGGGTATTCTCTGAGGCTTGTAAGGAAAATAATTTTCTACCTGACGAGCAATGTTATGACAATCTCTATTAGAAATTTTTTATTTTTTCTGCGAAAAGTAAGTGTGGAATTCTGAAGCACTCATTGATTTTTCAGTTTCTGGACCGTAGATTGTGAAATTTTAAGGAATTCTTGAATGCAGACACTTTTGCCTGACTTGAACATTCCTTTAAACATTAATTTCTTATCCTCGATTCCCCTTTTGATGGCTGCAGTGCTTGATTCTTCGTTTTCATTCTGAATGAGGATACTCATTTAAGGTTTGTCTATTTTCCAGGCTATTATATGTGGAAAAGTTGGGCAGTCCCCAGTCCAGAAGATCTTGAGAAATGGCCGAACTGTAACTATATTCACCGTGGGAACTGGAGGAATGTTTGATCAGAGGCTTGTAGGACAGAAAGACTTGCCAAAACCAGCACAATGGCATCGCATTGCTGTACATAATGAAATGCTTGGGGCTTATGCTGTTCAGAAACTTATGAAAAAGTAGGTTTCTATGTTTTCAGTTGAGCCAAAATTTTATATTTATCATTTCTGTCTCATAAATAGAGCTCTTTTTCAGCTCTTCAGTTTATGTTGAGGGTGATATTGAAACTAGAGTCTACAATGACAGTATCAATGGCGAAATAAAAAGCATACCAGAAATTTGCGTGCGTCGTGATGGTACGTACATCTAATTGGTCTTGATTGATTTCTTATGTGTAAATCTGAAACCTATACTGTAGGGTAGGGTAGGGTAGGCGAACTGATCATAAATAAAAAATTATTAAACTGCAAAACATTGCTGACGAGACGTAGAATTAAGGGGGGTTTAATAAAAAAGCCTAGTCAAGCAATGATATTGATAAAATAACCTCCCTTCAATGTTTTTTGGTCGAATGACCTTCACTTACAAAATACAATAAACAAATAATGTCAAATATCCTCACCATGAAAAATATCCAAATACTCCTTTCAATCCAATTAAATCCCTCAATTTATCTACAAAACACATCAACGTGCTTTCCCGATGGTTTCTTCTTTAAAATCTTGTTATTTATTGTATTATTCTTCTATCTTTTCCAATATTTTAAGTATTTGAACAAGAATTTTGGTATCCATATTATCTATATTGAATCTCTACTATGTTTAAAGAAAAAAGAAAATTATTTTTAGAAATCTCATTTACATTTGTACTTTTATTGTTGAATATAGTATAAAATAATATTTTAATTGATTTTATTTTCTCATTTGGTGTATATTTGTACCGTCCGCAACTATTGGACAATAACAACACTCCAGTCGTTATGTGTAGTGTAGAACGACACTACAGTCGTTATCCTCCATGTAAAATAACAGTATAATTGTTATCTATTATGATGTATCCCTTATTGATAATATATTGTGGTTACTTTAATAATTTAAATATTGTATCTATTTTCATATTAATTTAATATATACTTGAATCGATGAAATCATAATAACGGATATTTATTTTTTGTTATAACAAAATATCACTGGTATCGTTTTTAGTATTTTACCTAGAAAATATAGAAATGATGTTCAGAAATTAAATATCATTGATCTAATAACAATTTATTTTTAAATATACAAGTTATCAATTATTCGTATCGTGTTTATGTAACGACACTTGTGTTGTTTTCATAACAGTAACAACACTAGTGTAGTTCTCATTTTTCAAGTTATCTAAGCAATAAGAGTATCTTTCAAATTATGTGAGCGGCATGTCCATTTAGCGACTTACATGAGTTCAAATTATGGAATATCGAGGCCCAAAAGGCTCGTGGCTGCTCATACTCATGTTTATTGACAGAATGACACAAGTGACGTTTAACTGCACCTGTGTCGTTTTATTGGTTTCTCTTATATTTCGCTTCAGCATCGACCTCAAGGATCGGACCTCCTAACTTAAGAAAATCAGAGTTATTAATTACGTGACGAATAACAGTAGAATTGACATAGATTGTAAATGTCGCGTTGGTGAAATCACAAGTCACCATCCATATTCGTTGGAAAACAAAAGTAATGAGAATATCTCTCAAATTATGTGAGCGACATGTCCATCTCGCGACTTAAATAAGTTTAAATTATGGAATATCAAGGCTCAGAAGGCTCGTGGCTACTCATAATCGTGTTTATCGACAGAATGACACAAGTGACGTTTAACGACACCTGTGTTGTTCTGTTGGTTTCTCCTATATTTCGCTTCATTTTCATCGCATCGACCTTAAGGATCGGACCTCCTAACTTAAAAAAGTCATAATTATAAATTACATGACGAATAACGGTAGAATTGACATAGATTGCAGATATCGCATTGGTGAAATCACAAGTCATCATCCACATTCGTTGGAAAATAAAAGTAATGAGAGTATCTTCCAAATCATGTGAGCGGCGTGTCCATCTCGCAACTTAAATGAGTTCAAATTATCGAATATCGAGGCTCGGGAGGCTTGTGGCTAGTTATACTCGTGTTTATCGAAAGAATGACACATGTGACGTTTAACGGCATCTGTGTCGTTCTATTGGTTTGTCCTATATTTTGTTTCATTTCCACTACATCGACCTCAAAGATTGGACCTCATAACTTAAGAAAGTCAGAATTATTGATTATGTGACGAATAACGGTAGAATTGGCAAAGATTGTAGATATTGTATTGGTGAAATCACAAGTCACCATCCACATTCGTTGGAAAGCAAAAGTAATGAGAGTATCTCCCGAATTATGTGAGCGGCATGTCCATCTCGCGATTTAAACGAGTTCAAATTATGCAATATCGAGACGCGAAAGGCTCGTGGCTGCCCACACTCGTGTTTATCAATAGAACGACACATGTGACGTTTAACGGTAACTATGTTGTTCTATTTGTTTCTTCTATATTTCGTTTCATTTTCACCGCGTAGATCTCAAGGATCGGACCTCCTAACATAAAAAGTCACAATTATTGATTACGTGGCGAAAAAGGTAGAATTGGCATAGATTGTAGATGTCGCGTTGATGAAATCACAAGTCACCATCCACATTCGTTGGAAAAAAAAATAATGAAAATATCTCCCAAATTATGTGTGTTGCATGTCCATCTCGTGACTTAAATGAGTTCAAATTATCGAATATCGAGGCCCGGAAGGCTCATAATTGCTCATACTCGTTCTATTCTCAATAAAAGCACAAGTGCCGTTATTATCACAGTAACGACTTGTGGCGTTCCCGTTAATAAGTTTATGTCATTGTCACGTCAGTTGTGTCATTCTTTATATCTTTTCAATATCATTAGTTCTCCTAACTTAAAAAAGTTAGAAATGTTGATGATGAGACAACGAACGGTTGAATTGACGTGAATTATATGACAATGTTCATATTACAATTGAAATGAGTTCAACTTATTGATCTTCGGGGCATGGATGGGTCGTGGCTACATATCTCGCCTTTATAGACAGAGCAAACAAGTATCGTTTAACAGCTCTTTTGTCGTTCTATTAATTTCACAAATATTTTGCTCATTTTTCAACGCAACAACCTCAAATATTAGATTTGTTAACTTAAGAAAATTAGAAAAGTTGATCGTGAGAAAAAGAACGATTGAATTGAAATGGATTATACGACATTGAGTTGGTGAAAATCACGAGTCTTGTATTGATTCGTTAGAAAATATAATCAATGAGCACATTTCTCAACTTTTGTAAACGAAATGTTCATATTGCAATTTAAATGCGTTCAATGTATTGATTCTCAGGACACGGATGTGTTGTGGTTACGTATACTCATCTTTATAGACAGAACGACACAAGTGTCGTTTAATAACTCTTGTGCCTTTTTGTTAATTTCTTAAATATTTTGTTCATTTTCCAATGCAATAACCTCAAATATTAGATCTCCTAACTTAAAAAAGTTAGAAAGGTTGATCATGGGACAACAAACGGTTGAATTGACATAAATTATACAATATTGGTGAAATCACAAGTTATTGTATTGATTCGTTAGAAAATATAATCAATGAGCATTTCTCTTAACTTTTGTAAACGAAATGTTCATATTGCAATTGAAATGAGTTCAACTTATTAATTTTTGGGGCATGGATGGGTCGTAGCTACGTATATTCGTCTTTATAGACAGAACAACACAAGTGTCATTTAACAGCTCTTGTGTCGTTCTATTGATTTCACAAATATTTTGCTTCTTTTCCAACGCAGCGACCTCAAACATGGATCATCTAACTTAAGAAAGTTAGAAATGTTGATCACGTGACAAAGAACAGTTGAATTGATATAAGTTATACAATATCGAGTTGGTGAAATCATAAGTCATTATATTGATTCGTTAGAAAATATAATTAATAAGCACATCTCTTAATTTTTGTAAACGGCATATCCATCTTGCAGTTGAAATGAGTTTTGGGGCATGGATGGATCGTGGGTGCCTATAATCGTATTTATAGATATAACGACACAAGTGTCGTTTTCTTTACAGTAACGGCACAAGTGCTGTTCTCGTGGAAAAATTATGTTTAGATAATGGCATTTTTGTTGTTCTTTTATAACTTTTCATCTTAGTAATGGCACAAGTAACGTTTTCAATGACATTTTCATCCTCTAAAAGGTACTTGTGTTGTTCTCTTAGAACTTTTCATCTCAGTATCGGCATAAATAATTCTATTATTTTCAACAAAATACAAGTAATGAGCATATTTCTTAATTTTTTTAAATGCCATATCCACCTTGCAAGTTAAATGAATTCAACTTATTATTTCACGAGGCAAGAATGGGTCGTGGTTGTTTAAACATGTAATAATAAACAGAAGGCACAAGTGCTGTTTAATTATAAATAACGGCACATGAGCTGTTTTGTTGATTTCTCCTTCATTTTCATTTGTTTTCAACGCAACGACATTTAAAATTGGGCACTGTAAGTTGTGCAGTTCTCCTAGTAATAATAGAAGTTTATATTTATTTTTTCACTTGTGCTGTTTTTTAAGAATTTTTCATCTCAATAACGACACTGATACCGTTCTTAGGGACTTTTTAATTACTATAACACTTGTGCCATTCTCATGGACACTTATAAATCAAATATAGTGACAGTTGTGCCATTCTCATAAATGTTTTCATCTCAGTAACGATACAAGTGTCATTCTCATCGACAAGTGACGCTCTCCTTTTAGTAACGGCACAAATGTCGATCTCATGGACAAGTAAATTTATAATCATAATGGCAGTTATGCCATCATTGGGATGCTAGACTAACAATTAATGAGCATATTTCTTAACTCATATTTATAGATAGAATGACGGAAGGGTCGTTTTTATTTCAGTGACGGTTCTTGTGCTGTTCTATTGATTTTTCCTATATTTTGATTTTATTCTAGTACAACGATTTTATACATTGAACCCCTTAATGAATCATAAACATTTTCATCGGAGTAATGATGTTTGCTCCGTTCTTATGAAATTTTGTAACAAACATGAAAACACTTATATCGTTCTTATGTTTCTCTTATAAGTTCAGAACGGAACTTGTACAATTTTCATGGATGCTTTTATTTCTAATAACGTAACATGTAGAGATATATGTATAATTAAAAGGCAAATATTTAACTTAAAAGACATTAACAAAAATGTAAGAAAAATCAATAGAACAGCACAAGTGCCGTTATTAATATGAAAACGACTCTTTTGTCATTATGGGGTTGTTTGAGCCCCATTTTTTTCAACAAATGAATTTTGTAATAGTGTTATAATTGAGAATGTGTGATTAAAAAATTAGAAAAAGTTTTGAGTTTGTATGTAATATTATTTTATTGAACGTGTGGTTAAAATGTGATCAAATTATTGTTCAAGAATACATTTTGATGAAAAAATAAGGCTCAAACAAAGGCTATACGTGTTAACACGAGTAAAAACAGCTACGTCTTATCTATGTCCCGAGAACTAATAGTGGAACTCATTTACGTTATTTATGACATTAACTTTTTATATTACATATGTCAAGGAGTTCATTATTAAATGTTGTTTTGTTGAAAAAATTGGATATAGGTGAAAATTTCAGAACGACACAAGTGTCGTTACTGGACATGAAAATGATAATTGTGCTGTTACATGTATAAATATAAGTATAAGTAGTCACGATCAATTCTTTCCCTAAAAAATAATAACTGAAACTTATTTATATTGTAATATATACATGACAGGTATAAAAATTGATATATATGTTTATTAAATTAATCGATACATATAAGTGCGACAACTTCTATTTCCACTATCTTAATAATATAAAAATTATGTCGTTTCAATCGTTCCTTGTGGCTAGTCAATTTTTTTTTGTTATATACGTTAGTGAGTCCATTATTAGAGTCATTTCGTTGAAAAAATAAAACTACAGCAGATAACGACTGTAGTATCGTTTTACTGTACAAATAACGGCTAAAGTGGTGTTCTATATTACAGATAGCAATTGGAGTATTATTACATTCAATGGTTGCAACTAACACAAAAAACACACTAAATACGCAAATAATACTAATTAAATATTATTTAATACTATATTTAGTAATAAAAATACAACATAAATGGAATTTTTAAGAGCATCTTTTCTCTTTCTTTCAATGTAAATGTATGCTAACCAAACTCTTGTTCAAATGTGATTGAAGAGAAGAAAATAAGTGAATGTAATTTTGAGAACTCGAAATTGAAGAATATGAATAGGGGAAGAAGATGTAATTTTCAGAAGAAAAAAAAAAGAAATTAGGGTTTGAAGAAAAATGACGGGATGAAATGAGAGAAGTTGGAAGACATTAAGTTAACAACTAAAGGAGAATTTTGTCATTTTGCCAATTAAAATATTTTACATTTTTTATTTGTTTTTATTATTGGTCAAAAGTCATTTCATCAAATACATTGTTTAGTTGGGCCAAATGGCCAAATTCCCCTAGAATTAGTTGGTACATGGCAAGTCATGAGAGATAACTAGTAGACGTGGATTTGGCATCAAGAAATCCATTTTGATTGAAGTGATTTTTAAACTGCAAGTCTAATGAAATAAATGTAAACCATGGGTTGTGATGGAGGATAACTCAAATTCATGCCTTATAAATGAAGTAGTTAATGGTGGGGGTACCATTATCCTTCTTTTAGTGACGAATCTTGTATGAAAGCCTTTCATTTGCTTCTCTTCAATGGAAGTTTATTTCCATTATATAATTTTTATTCAGGCACTTTATGTATCTATCTGCTTTTTGCTGTCCCTAATTCATACTAGTGGTTCCTTTTTTTTGAGAAATAACGACTTTAAAGACAAATCTATGAACTTGAGGATTATAAACGTTAATTTAGTAGAACTGATGGCTAGGAAGTTTTCTACCTTTGTAATTGTTGAACCGATCTCAACTTTGGATTATGGACAATTATGAATATGCATTTGGACTACTACGAATACAACATATATGATCATAGTTTCTCTAATGGACATAAGCAAGATGCAATTCATCTCGCTTATTAGATATGATGGGGGTCAGAGATATTTTATATAAGTAGGTCCCAACTCTCCAAATAAGAAAATTATAATTAATATTAAGATGCAAACAGGAAAAACCTTCAAGTACTTATTAATTCAAACAATATAAGGGTAGCTTCTAGAAGACCTGGGTTACCACGATATCTACTCTTTGTTGCATGAGAATATGCAGCTTTTCTTTTGTTAAAAAAATAAAAATAAATAAATAGCAGATATAGTTGAATTCAAAGTACATGATCTATATACACGGTTTTTCTTAGTACATGATCTATATACATGGTTTTTCTTTCAGATATAGAACGAGCATTTCTAGTTGAAATTAACGCAAAGATGATGCTCCCTTTGTCAACAACTGAATGTTCCTTTCGAATTTGTTGGAACAAGCTTAATTTGTTGATTTTGTTGTTTCATGCACGGGAAGAAAAGTTTTATCAAATTTGTTATGGAATATAGAAATTGCAGCGGTTGACAAATTATGTGCTTACTGCTATCATTAAAGTATCAAAATGATTAACTGCTGTTACATCATCTAAGTTGACTGTTGGAGCATGTTTCACCACGGTTCAGTAAATATGAACACGGTAGGCATCAATTCAATGGATCAGGATTCTGAAGTACAATACAAGGATCTATAGAAAAAATACGTTCAAGTAGAAATCATAAAATTTGTGGGTTGCTTCATGTTCCATTAACAAGTTAGTAGCAGGTTGAATTCTATGCATAATAGATTCTGTCAAGTGGCAATGCATTTCTAAGTTTGTTTATACACTTTGAACTAGTATGGATTGTGAGTACATAGATTACATGGAATTAATAGGTCGTTACAAATTTATTGATTCTAGAAAATGCTACAATTTAGCTTTTACTGTTCTCTATATTTTCTTCTCAAATTAGTTTTGTCATTTTATGGATTACTATTGCAGGGAGAGTTCGACTTATCAAGGCGGGAGAAAATATGAGTAATATTTCCATCGATGAGCTGCGTAAGTTTTTGTCTATTATAAAATTATTCTTAAGCGATTAATTGTTACCAGATCCTGAATTATTTTTGTTGGCAGGGGAGGATTTACTGTAATGTAACTCCAGTGGAAAAATATACTAGCATGTTCGGTAAGGTGAATTAGATGGTATTAAGAAGAAAAAGAAGCTGAAATCTTGGTCCCATACATGACCCTTCGAGTATAACATTCTGCAAAGGTGAGTAGCTGAAGAGCCATACTTCTGCTAGGAACTGTATTTAAAGACGAGCATGGATTTCTGCTCTTAGTTTTTGTTAGCAGGGACCTAAATATGTAGATTGTTTTCTCATCTATTTTTCCTTGGTTTAAGTATTAATGCCCTTATTTTGAAAGTTGGGGTGATGGACTTGAAGTGGATTTCATTTTCTGTACCTGCATGTATACAAGTGATATCTACTGCAACAAATGTAGGAAATTTGACATCTATTAGTAGGAAATATATTCTGTTTTCATTTCCGTGTTAAGTTCTTAACTTTTGGAAATATGGTACCAGAGGTCTCCAGCCCCACTTTATTATTATTATTTTGTTATTTATATTTTTTTTGGGCAGCATTATCCCAGAACCTTTCACATTTTTCCGTGTTGGTCCTGGGCAGATGGTTTTCATCCCACTTGACCACAAAAATGTATTGAACGTGAAGATATAGGAGTAAATAGCCCTTGAATGCCCTTTGTGTTTAAAACTTAAAAATGAAGACTTCTTGTAAGAATTTTTTTAAAAGAAAGCTATTTTTCAATTTCTCTACTTACTCTTATCCAATAAACTTCCTCTTGTTTAGTGATGACAACGGGGCGGGGCGATGAGGTCGCCTCTCCTGCCCCACCTTGCCTTCGACGGGGCGGGGTAGTTTTTTGTCCCATTTTTTGCCCCGTTTAATTTTTTTTTTTTTGCAAGTTCAATAAAATACGGATAACATTCAAGCTGACAAAGTTAATATCCAAAATAAACACTACAAATCTTAAATATAATGCTCGTTATTGGTACACAACATTGACTATTATAATGAACAAGGTTTTTCTTGTGTTTTTTTTCCTTTGATATTATCACAAAAGTTGTAATCTCTCACACTTTAATTTATCACAATATATAGATTTTCAAATTTGTTCAATTGAACATGTTATATCTTTTTATATTTGTTTTTATCAATATCTGCATAATGGTATATATAAATTAGTCAAGCTTGATAAGACTTGTACAATTGAGGATATTAGAAAATAGGTCATTCTTCTATTTGAAACAAATTGAACCCTAACCTTTTATATTTAAAAAAAAAAAAAAAATCACGGGGTGGGTTCGGAGAGGGGCATCCCCGCCCCGTGCCCCGCAACGGGACGACCATTTATGCCCTACGCCGCGACGGGGCGGGCTTTTTTGCCCCATTTGGGGCGGGGCGACATCGGGACGGGGTAAATTGCCATCACTATTGTTTGAATTAGAGTTATAGAGAAAATTACGAGAAAATGACTCAAATAAATAAATAAGGAAAGATATATATCTTTCCGTCAAAAGGGACTTTAGGTCACTTTAATTGCTGAAAACAAGTTGGAATATTTTATATATTAGGGGAAAAAAAGTTATAAAAATAGCTTTCCGTATCCTTGTTCTGCTCATTAAAGTTGCTGAGGACGATGAGTAAGTACTCATGGAGTCCTTCAAATTTTCTTCCTTCCGAGTATTAGTAGCTCTCCTATCATTAGGTCATCAACTTCTTTGATCTTTAGGCATTCGAATGTTAATTCCATATATGATCTTACAGCTTTGCGTATTGATGAGAGAATGTTGCAAGTTCATCCACTACTTTATTTTTTTTGACTATTTTTATTAAAATTAATCACGTCTTTTTCAACTTGCCGAAAAGATTTCAAAATGAGAAACTAGATCATTAAAGATGACTCTTGTGAGGGAAAAAAGAAAAAACACAGATGTAAACGTGGTTTCATTTTTCACAGCATTTCGTCATTATGGGAACCATAATTTTTATTAGATCAAGGTGAATTATCACGTGTTGTGGTTTTTATCACACGATGTAGTAATGCAAAATATCGGATGTCATGAATTTTGGCATGAAAAGCAATAGAATATTTTCAATATTTTTGGTTTCTGGTCTACGTAAATAACAGAAGAATTAGGACAGTAAAGTTCGAGAAAAAAATCGATTGTAAACCACAAATATTTATATGCATTTGTGAATTACGCAAACATTTACTGATTGTAGATCGACAGGTAACGAAGCCCACCCAAAATCGGCATACACTAATCGAAAATATAATGAACCAAATTTATTCTTATCCAATACGATCAAGTACACTACCAAACAAGCCAAAAATGTACGACAGACATTGGCTATTTTTTTGAGAAAAAGAAACAAATCCCAAATAAAGAAATTCGATCTCCGACTCCAAAAGAAGGGATTGCAACAGGAACGCAGTTGTCAAGTTCTCACCACAACGATTTTCATGGTTTTCGGGTTAATGCTCTCAATGATGAATTGGTCACTCGGCACCCTTCTGTTTATCATAGGACGGGTTGGAAGGAAAGCAATGTAACCTGCAATGGCGACTGAATAGCCGCCTCTGACTTTCTCCGCTATGAAACCTCTGACCTTTGAGTTTCTTCGCCAAATCTTGGTCAGTTCCATCCAAGCTCGGTTTTTTCTGAACCTTCGTGGAAGGAGAAGCGGCTCACCGGAAACGGAATCAGTGGGTCCAACTATATCATTGAACCGAACAGCAGCTCGCTCTTTCATTGTAGAATCACCTGTCACCATATCGACGAAGCAACGCTCCAGGATTTGCTTTTTGACTGGTGTTTCCCCTGACACACGATCAAGATACCCAACCCGGTTTTCAAACCTTGTGGGCCATTTGGTGTTTGGGTCTCCAATGAGCTCATCTTGAGTGCATATTCTTGAGGTCCCAATTCCTGCATCCACCAAGAACATTTCATCCCTTAAGCGTAGAACTTTGGCCTGCAAAGCAGTACCACTTTGCAAGAATATGCTCGAATTAGATCTTGAAAACAATCTACTCATATATGTGCTCATCTTATGGGTCAATCTCGATTCTCAAATTTCCCTGTAGAGTAAGAAAAATTTCTTTAGATACCCAACAGACAACTTCTTTCTTGACAACTCAAGTAACGAAGTAATAGCAAAAAGGATACATAAATCGAGCTGATATAACAAATACAGCAGTATCTTCAATTATGCATGCCCAAGTAGCTCCTCTGAAGGTTGGAAAGGGATAAAGATCAACATCAGGTCCACATGAGGGAATATTGGCAATCAAGGCTGCCATCAACTTCTGGCAGCATTTATAGAGTGTTTCAATAGTGCAATGTGAGATGAGCTTTAAAAATTAAATATAAAGCTCGTGTGCCCCAATTATAGAATAGATAATAGGCAGTCACCAGATATAAAGAACGTTAACTTTATTTTTTGAGGTACAAAAAAAAAATAAAAAAAAATGGACCATTGGTTATAAAAAAACAACTTAAATTTTGTCAGGATCATCTGTGATATCAATACTGAGTCCCTAACACCATGCTTTCAAATGCAATACAAGTAATTCTATGATGATATGCACAGAATAATTGTCATCTTACACATAAGTATTCACTTTCTTCAATATATAGAAAATGAGAAATACAAAGAAAACAGAAGAAGGTGGGAGGTAACAGAGATATTTTATATGAGAAATATATTTCTCTTTACTCACGAAAATGAAAGAACTGACAAAAAAGGTACTGTTTGAAAATATGGTTCGCCTCAACTAGTTGAAGTGAAGGGCAGCCTAGTTTACTCACATACCAATTTGGTTAGGGCATATTAGAAACAAAATAGAGGTTCATCAGTCTTCCAGTCTCGCTGATGAGCAAAATGAGTGTATAATAGGATTAGGAGAAAAGTGTTTTACAAGAGAACCAACTCTTAAGTTAGAGACAGGAGAGTAAATTCTGTGGAAACCCATTTCAGACATCCTCTAATTCTGCTATAATACTGTTCTTTGGGTTCAAATCAGTGGCCGAGTTTGAGCATAATTACTTTTCTACCTTTCCGATATGCAAACAATATTTTTTAATTTACTGTTCTATTCAGATTTTTTTTTTCTTTCATCAGTGCACAGTTGCATCTTCTTTAGTGATTACAAGGCTTAAATTATTGGTTCAGGTCTGAAATGTAAATATTTCAAAGTGTTTTCATTCAGACCCTAAAACTAAACCAATTATCTCTAGTTCTTTTGGCTTTGTTTGGGAACTCCAAAAACTAGGGCCATAAACCTCAGTTCAGACCTGAATAAGCTGATTACGAAAAATCTAATTTTACTTTGATCTCAGGTCAGCTCAAATATGCATCAATTAGAACATTGAATTGGTAGTTCGACTATTGCTTTGACACTGCTGCAACACAATTTTTATTTTTATTTTTTCTGCATTGAACATGCAAGTGAGGTTAGAAGAGGACTTCTGTTATGGATAATTGACTATAAACCATCTTGAAATCCATAATAAAACAATTTAGCCAGGAGCGGGCCCAGGAAGTTTTTTCCGTGCAAGTGACAAACTCAAACACAAATGCAATATGATGGACATGATATTCAATTCGCATTTTTTCGGACTGCTTGAAGAAAACCGATTGAATGTGTTCCTCTAATTCATCAAACCATCACATTTAATGCGAGCTTGATTATGTAGACTAGATAAATCTATTTGACAACTCCTCATCAACATTTTTCACATTCTCAAGAGATTTTCTTTTATAAAATCTTCCCATGATTATTTTCACAAAAATCAGCCACAAACCCCTCCAATTTACTGCACTTCTTAGACAATATATTATTATGTACAAAACTAAAATCTGCTATAATACCCTAACAAAAATCTGCTACGTGTAGTATGAAAAAACATAAGATTGAAAAGTTAATTAACATAAAGAATCAAACTTTGGATGAAAAACAGTATAGCCCTAAAATCCAATTTCAAAATTTAGCAAGAAATTAATAAAAAAAAAAATACATTTTAAATCAAATATGAGATGAGAATAACATGGTAGAATCTTGATAAGGTACTAAAATCTGTAAAATAGAACAAGACAAGACAAATTGCATTTCTAATTGATACATAAAATGAATTGGAGAAAAAGAGAAGAAAGAGATAAAATTACCTTTGATAGCAGAGAGAGAGAGAGAGCCGGCAGACGGAAGAGGGAACTGGGAAGCCGAGGTTGAAGCTAGCAGCACGGACAAATAGCTAGCAAGCCTCGACCTTTAAATTATTTGTTAATAAAATTGGGCCAATTGTCTGGCCCATTTAAAAAAAATTCCTTTTAACTTGGACCTTGGCTGCTACTGACGTTTTTCCAATTGGGGGCCGCCCAAAATCCCCCTGACCCTCACGTCAATTACCCCTAAATTTTATTTATGAAATAATTAATTAAAAATATATTTTATAACTCAAATTTAAGGTCACAATTTTAAACAATTTGATCACAAATTATCGAATTAATTGATTACAAATAATTTTTCGATCCCAATTGAAAATTTTCTAGGTCACAAACTTAACAAATTCTTAGGTCACATATTATTCCTTAATCACAAATCTCAAATTTTATAAGTCACATCTTATTTCATGGTCACAAAAATATCAAATTAATTGATCACAAATTATCAAATTATTTGTCATAAATTAACAAAATTTTAAGTCACATTATTTATTGGTCACAATCAACAAAATCATTTGTGACCACCACGCCACCGTCACAACGTCACTGAATCCCCTGTTGCCAAAACCTCCACCACCTCCCGACTACAAAATCATCACCTCGAACACTGTAGCCAACATCACCACCACCAAAGATCCACCAACATGCCACCAACAAGATTCATCACCACCACCAGATCTAAACATACCCTCCGCTACCATTGGATCCAATAAAGTCATCGGCACCCAAACATCACCACTGCATCCCCCATTCACCAACTGATACCACCCAAAAATCCACATTGGATCACAGAGCTGCAAATCCAGGCCATGTCGGGCAGCAGATCTAGACCACACCTTGCAACTGGGTTGAATCGACAAAGAAGAAAGAGGCAAAAGTCAGCGAGTTAAACTAGCGGTGGTCTCACTTGCAGCAGCTCTCACTGATTTCACACAGGAAGCAACACCATCCATAACCACACCTTACTTGCGTCGTCACATAGCATTTGAGTGACGCGACATGTACGTCATTGTCGCAATCTCTCTAGTTGCACTCATCGTCGTTGCTTAGTCGTTATTTAGAGAGAGAAAGTGTTGTGATTATGTTGTTCAAAATCAACAACAATTAAAAAAAAAAAAGTTGTCCATGTGACCGCATGGCCATATGCCGAGACCAAATGTCTCAGCATGGTACAAATTTTTAGTTGTTGGAGACCGTTTTCTCCCGTTGTAAATTTAAATTTGGTGACTTTTGGCTTAAAGTTTGGTGTCATTTTGTGAATGTGGTGTATGCCTATATATATTGGATCCATGTTGAAGGCAAAAACATCACAAAAACATTAAAGTTTCATATTACTTCCAAAATAAAAAATCATAGTCTTTAAAAGCCATATTCATATTCATCCTTTGTATTCTTCAAGTTCTCTAGGATTTGCACTTGTACTTTGGTGTTTAAATTCTTGCAAGGCTTGTTATAATCCTACAAATCATTTTCCAACAACCTTCGAAACATCTCAAATTCATAGGAGAAGGGGCAAATATCATTTGAGGACAACGATATCGTGTTCAAGCCATTCGTTGATCGATGGAAAGACAGATTGAAGTTTCTTCTCACTGCACTAAAGATCTTCTACATCCTAGATCCGAAATTGGTGCCACTATCAGAACCAACAAATGGAGAAATCGAAGCGGTGAGGAATGAAAGACAAAAGCGCTAAGAATATGAGTTAATATGCTGCAGTCACATTCTCAATGCATTATCAGATCGTTTGTATGACTTATATACAAACACAACTTTGGCAAAGGAAATTTGGGATGCGCTCGAAAGTAAGTACAAAGTAGAAGAAGAAGGTACAAAGAAATTTTTAATTTCTAAGTACTTATTTTTAAATTTTTAGAGAATATTCCCCTTCTTCCCCAAATACATGAAATGCAAGTAATTGTCAATAAGTTGAAGGCGGTGAAAATTGAAATACTAGAGACCTTTTAAGTGGGGGCTATAATTGTCAAACTTATCGAAACTTGGAACGGATATCGGAAGAAGACAATGCATAGTTTCGAAAATTATTCTTTGGAACAACTGCAAAAACATCTTTAGATTGAGAAAGAGTTGAGAATACGTGATAAAAGTGATTCTCATGAGGGCACTTTTAAAGTAAATGCTGTAGAAAATTTCGAACCGCCAACAAAATCTAAACAAAGGAAGACTTCGAGGAACCTTAATAAGTTCAAGAAGAAGACCAAAGGAGGATGCTTTGTTTGAGGATGCTTTGTTTGTGGGAAATCTGGATACTACACAAAAGATTGTAGACATTGGAAACACAACAACTTCGAGGGTAAAGTGAATTTCATCCAACAAGACAAGATTGTGGCCACCGTGAGCGAAATAAATGCAATTAAGGGAAGGTTCTTGTCTGGTGGTATGATACTTGTGCCACGGTGCATGTATCATATGACAAATCTTTCTTCAAAACATACAATGAAGTGAATGGAGACCAAGAGATCCAAATGGGTAACGAGGTGTGGCCCAAAGTAATTGGAAAAGGAAGTGTATCAATTATCTTCACTTCTGGAAAAAATATTATTCTCATAAATGTACTACATGTTTCGGATATGAATGGGAACTTAGTGAGTGAAAATCTTTTGAAAAAATCGAGCATTAAAAGTGTCTTTGAGTCCGGTAAACTTGTATTATCACTTAACGGGAAATTTGTTGGAAATGGCTATTCATATGAAGAAATGGTCAAACTTTGTACTATTGACAATGAAATAAATAAAGTTGATTTTGCTTACATGATTGATTGATTTTCTTTATGGCATGCTAGATTTGTTCACATAGGTAAAAGTACTATGAAACGCATGAGAAATTGTGAATTAATTTCATATGATGAAAATGATGCCATTAAATGCAAAACATGTGTAGAAGCAAAAATTGTTTAAAAAGCCTTATCAAAGCGTTGAGAGGACTTCTAGCATATTAGAATTAATTCATTCCAATATATGTGAATTAAATGGCATGCTAACAAGAGATGGAAATAGATATTTCATAACATTTATTGATGATTGCTCAAGATATACCTATGTTTATTTGATGAAACATAAA